ATGTTCGTGGTAACTAATAAATAGATAAAAATAACAAAATAATTAAAATTTATTAAATTTATTAAAAAGATATACGTATTAATTTTTCAAAATATGTATAAGAATGAGAGGTAAAAAACTAGGCTAATACTTACAAACCTCACAAAAATGAACTAGATGTAAAGGGATAGGGATTTAGGAACATTAAATTCAATTTATCCTCTTCAAATTAATTTGATAAATTCAAAACTTGAAGTGTAACTTGAGTTAGATTTCAAGTAAAAAATTAACTCACTTACTATTTTATAAATCTCATAAAAGCGAACTTGGTTAATAAAGTCATGTTTGTTTTTGTGCTTTAAAAATATTTAAAAAACATTAAATTTTTTTATTAATTTTAAATTAATATATTTTTAGTATTTTCAAATTATTTTGATGTGTTGATATCAAAAATAATTTTAAAAAAATAAAAAAATTATTAATATATATTTTAATATAAAAAAATTATTTAAAAAATAACAACAACTACATTTCCAAATCAATCTATAAAAATTTAGGAATATAATTATTAAATTGCAAATCGACTTGAGAAACGAGTTAGATTTTTAGTAGAAAACAAACTCAGTTAATATGTTATCGAAAACATAATCATTATTAGAAACAAAATCATTAAATTCAATTTAGCTTAATAGCCGACCTAGTCAATTCAAGATTTGGATTCTTACTCAGTCAGGTTTCTAGTGGAAACTCAAGACAAAGTAATAGGAGCAATTTTGAATTAAACTACAAGAAATTAAAGATGTGTACACCCAGCGGTTACTCTTAGATGGAAAATCTACAAGACTGATTGAAGATTTGAAAATTCGAATATGGCTTGAAAAAATGCAATTGGGGTTGAGTACAAAGGTAAAATTACTTTTTTCAATGTCAAAAAAATTCATGTTTGGTAATGAAAGAATTATGAGGCAAAATATCGTAAAGAGCAGAAGATTAAAGAATAATAGCAGTTGATATTGAAAAGGTCAGGAGTTAGTATTTAGAGTTTATAAAAATTCTAATATTTTTTAACTTTGCAATATTAAAGATTAATATCTATTAGAGTTTTGGATAAGAATAAATCTTAGATAGATAAGCATAAACGTCTTAGTTTAAGTAGGAAATGTAAGAGTATAAAATCCACCTAAACATTAAGAATTATGTATAAGAAAAAACAAAAGAAAAAAATAAAGAAAAGAAAGTCACTAGATGAACAAATCTCTTGGCTATAATACTTCAACAACCAGCAATATGATTCTCTCGTACATTTCCTGCTAGCTAGTAGATGAACTAGCAGGCCTTGAAGCTAATTAGTTTTCAGTCCATGGAGAAGCCATTCACTGACATCCCTCCATCAACGCAAATAACTTGTCCGGTTAAGAAGCCTGGTGCAGGGAAGCATAGAAATGCGACAACAGAAGACACATCCCCTGGTTCTCCCAATCGTTTCATTGGGGTTCGATCGACAACGTCCTTCCGAATTTTTTCGACGTCGAGAAACTGAATCGTACGGGAAAAGCATTATTAGATATTTTCAGAATGTTCATCCTCGACACAATTTCCTGTGTTAAAAATGATTCACCTATGTTGTTGCACTTGTGCAACGAGCACTGAAAGGAAAAGAAAGCATAAAGGAGAGAAATATTAGTTAAAGAATTGGAGAGTTCGTACCTGTTCAGTGAGAGGAGTTCGGACGGCCCATGGTGCCACTGCGTTAACCCTTATGTTGTCCTTAGCCCATTCGCAAGCCAAATTCCTTGTAAGTTGGTTCATTGCACCTGCAATATACAGAAATCACAACATAACAAGCTTCTGTGACACAAACACCAAAAAGGAAAACGAGATAAGAGATAGAAAATTATGCCAAGTACCTTTAGTAGCTGAATATATAGGATATTGAGGGTTTACAGAAACCACACTGGCAATGGATGACATAAAGACGATCCTTCCAGCTCCTGAAGCTTTCAAAAGTGGATGTGCAAGTTGGGACAGATGGAAAGCAGATCCAAGGTTTGTATTCAAGATGGATACGAAATCCTCAGATGTGTAGTCTAAGGATCCTTTATGTATGTTCCCCCCAGCATTGTTTATCTAGAGATTAACAAAGTTCAGGCAACCAGACAAGTTGGCCAATGTGATGCCTCCGGTACCATATAGAGTTTGAAGGAAGACTAAAGAACAGAACGTATTTTTCACTACCTTGTTTGTTTTGTTTACAGAATATTTTTAAGTAGGGACGTGAACTGCAAGTGCCAGAATTTAGGCAAGCTGAGATTTGATTAGAATCAATTATCCCCTGAATATTCTCCCAAGCATTTAACTTTGACTAAACATTAGGAGTTAATGATTGTGTAATCTTCAAGATGTAAGTTTCCATGTAAATTACTGACATCATGTAAGTTCTAAGTGCTGTGAATGAGTTGAGCACATGAGAACCGAAGAGAAATTTTACTTACAAGGATGTCAAGTTTTCCATCAAAAAAAGAAGAAACCTCCTCCATCAGCTTCTCTCTTTCAGCATTAGAGGACAAATCACAAACTGAACCAGTAACTTTAAAACCCTTGGCCTTCCATTCACGGAGGTTTTCATTGAGCTGGTCTTGACTCCTCCCGCATGTATGCACGATTGCCCCTAGTGCTGCCAACTCACCCACGATAGCATACCTGATCATAATTGATCATCAGCAAACAAGTCTACTGTTTTAACACCTTTAATTTCAAGAATAAGCTAGTTATTGCTGCCAAAAGATTAAAGTACTCAGTGTAATGGACCCAGGAATCAGTGTTATAAGCGATAACATGATGTCAATACATTGAAAACACTAAATCCATGGAACATTTTCTTAGATCCACAAGAGGGGTGCTCAAGCAGGGGATGGATTTTTTGATGAAGAAAGTAGATAGAATTCATTAATCTTTTCCTTAGATTAAAAAAACTGTTACATGGATATAGTGGTTCCCTTCAATTCAAATTCTTTGCTGACTTTTGTAAATTAAAGGAAGAAAATATACTTATATTCTTATGTTTTACTTAAGAAATTTGAGACCTTAATGGAATTCTGCCTTTGTGCATCATCTTCCAAGAAATTAAATGAAATAAATCAAGACTAGGGAGCTAAAGTAAAACAACATGGAAGGTGCAGACGAAAAAGGAACTGGAAATCTGGAATTACCCGAGTCCTTTGGTTCCACCAGTGACAAGAGCTGTCATGCCCTGGAGAGACCATTTCTTATCCCTGCTACTGTTTTCTTGCTGTGACATCTTCACAAATCTCTCTTCAAGTTCGACACCTCTAGGCAACAAATAGCATTGTAAGTATGAAACAAAAATAATAAATGCAAAAAGAAGGTCGTATCAGGGAGGATGTCAGGATGCCAGTTGAAAATGAATGGGAGCTGTGTTACCGTTTTGAAGACGGAAAAGGTAGGGCAGTGGCGGTGGTGGTGATAGACGACGCTTAAAGCCTAAAATTGAAGATGAGATGCATGAAAAAATGGGGGGGGGCGGGGGGCGGGGGGACAGCGGGGATAATGACTTATTGAAAACAAATAAAAAACCGACAAAAATTATAAATTAAAAGAATAAGTATATATTCATAAATGCTAGGCACCGAATTTTGAGGAAGCAGAGAGGGAGAAGCAAAAATAAACCATCACGCTTAACCATGCATTTGGAAACGAGGTGCAGTTATTATTAAAAAAAAAAATTATATATAATCTAAAAATACTAAAAAATATTAATTAAAAATTAAAAAATTATTATTTTTTAAAATATTTAAAAAATACTAAAAAGATAATGATAAGAGAATTCAAACACCACAGAAAATGGCATTCGACAATTAGACGGCCTTCACGTGCTCATGCATGCAGCACCAGTCAACAATTTTTTTGTTATATATATATATATTAAATTACACAATTGCTTCTAAACCAACTTAATAATTACAAAAATATCCAAATACAAATACAAAATGGATGTTGACAGTCCATAAAACAAAAGGACGTAATTTCCCCTTTAAATTTTGGAATGCCAAATGGCCTATTATGAAATCATTAAATTACCCCAATATGATGGTTTTTTTTAAGGAAAAAATAGATATTTTACCCCAAAGTCTGAAAATATCACTCATTCACTTGTCTTTTTTTATTTTGATATTCTATTTTCTAATTTTACCGCCCTCTAAAAATTAACTTTTAATTTGATCATTAAACCCAAAAAAAAATGAGATAAAAAACTGAAAAATGCATTTACAGTGTTTTGTGTTGTGTGTTTTGTGAGGAGATTTATGATGCATTATGTATAGATAATTCCCCATCCCTTTTAGATTTACTTGTAAAAATTTAACCAAGGTTTTTTTTTCACTATAGATTTGAAATTTTTTAAAATATTATAATTACTATTGAAGAAAAACTATAAGTCTTTTTAAAAGATTAAAAATATAAAAATTCAGACAAACAAGTTAAATATTATAATTTATATTATAAATATTATAATTGGATATGATATTGCAGTTAAATTCAATACTTCTGTCGCACCCAGATTCAATATTTTTAAACCTTATATATATTTTTTAATATAATTAAGCACAGGGAATTGCTCCATAGAAACATTAAAGACCGCTAGAGTTCCTGCTCTTAAAAGCAATGATAAAGATTACCATTCAAACAAACCAAATCTCCATATGGCCACAATTTCTTCTGATTGTAATTGTTTTATGAGCACAATTTCAGCATTTTCACTTATTGCTTGGCTACTGTTTCGAGATAGAAAACATAGAGATGGTGAGAGAATATATCTCCATATACTACTTGAAAAACATATTTTATATTTGTATTCTCAACCAAATACATTTGAAATTATGTCTATCCTAGAACACTAACCAAAAGCATAGAGTAAAATTAAGGTGGTTGCATCCTAAGGTAGGCTTCATTATAGAACCTATTCCTCGGCATATTAAAATAGAGTCCTTGAATTAATCTTATATATACCGAAGAACCAACACACAAATATATACTATAACATTGCTTGAAGTAAATGCCACAGTCACGTTCAAACTATTTAACAGTCTGAGATTTATTTTATTGGCTAAATAGACACATCCCTACTGAAGTTTAAGATGTAGGGAATTACTTAAAAGTCCTGTGTTGCTAAACACATTAACAATTCTAGCTTCAGTGTTAACATGCAGAGAAATGCCAAGATTATGGTATCATCTCCACAAGCATCTGAAATCTGCAGTGCTGTAACTGTGATGCTGGCGATCAAAACGCAACTGCACAATCTTCTTTCTGTGGGGATGAAAGCAATCCCACTTGCACAATGTCTACAGTCTGCACAAATAATTAAGTTCCATCGTTGAAAGACAAGGGAAGATTAAAGGGAAAGGGCATAGAATGTTTCTTGGCAGCAGTCATGGTTCATGAACTGGTAAAAAAAATATTGTTTTTGCGCATCAAACAAGTTAAAGAAGTAGAAATCATGATTTGATTGGTAAATTATAGATGTAATATGTTCAAGAAGAGCATGATACGTTTAAACAAGTGACATGAAACATTCTGTTTGTATAGTGAAAGTAATTGTGGCTCATATTTCAGTTCAATGTTGTTTTTCTACTAGTATCGCTTGCTGAAAGAGGAAAAGTGATCAGACCTTGTAGAAGCTATATATATTATTTAATTCTCCTGATATGATGGTATGGGCACTCCTGACTCTTCTGTAAGCTTTTTGTAAGCATTTTGTAACCTTCGAGTCACAGGTCCCACTTGTCCATCGCCAACTTCACGTCCATCAATCTTCACAGCCTGTTAGATGATATTCATTAAAAATATTTTCCTAGTTAGAAGCTGAAAGATATGGTATATTAGTTCTTGAACTTGAAAGAGACAAGCTCCATGAAGGTGCCAAGATTAGTAGCACTCAAATTATTTCAACCAGCATAGTATTCTGTGTCCATATCTTGTGAATCTGCTTGAGACATGTCACCGGAGCCAAGTTAAAACATAAACGAGTTGATGAAGCTTACTAATAAAAACCTTTAAAGTGGTGAATCTAGCTTGGACAATGTCAACTTCAAAATGTAACAAACTACAACTGCTTAACTTCTTACTACTACTTGAAAGCAGCAGCAAATCTTAAATGAAGAGACTCAAGAACAACATTTGCACAGCAAAAACCACATAGCATGCATTCGGACACAAGATTCAGCAACTAGATGATAAGAAATAGTGAAAATGGAACGGTTTGATGATGACCCACTTCACAGGAGGTCTGTCTCTGGTCAGGTTGGAAAAGACACAACTAGACTGACAGACTAACCATTGTATCCAAAACATTTCCAGTGAATGAAAACTTATTGCGTATATAATTATATTAGAAACATTTTTAATGGTTGACACTTCATTCATATACTCATCAACTGATGTTCAGATTGGGAGGATGGCGTTGTAATAAAAGTTGCCACCACCTACAGGACCTCAAAATCACTTAAGAGTTTAGTTATGGAAACTTAAGGCTGCAGCAGACAGAGAATCTGCCAAAATGTACTATAAGTATACTAACATAATTGGAAAAGACATTTATAAAGAATATACTCACTGGGGTGAGCTCTCCCATTGTTCCAGTCGTCCATACCTGCAGAGCATGAATGTTCAAAGTAATTGATAAATTTTTCAAGTGAAATATAACAAATTGAAAACCAGAAGAGGACTGTTCACTAGCAAAACATATGAATTCAAATGTTTAAGTAGCTGGCCGAATGTTTCATTCAAAATGGGTCAACCCTATAGAATTTCTACTGCAGAAATATGTCTTCTCTAACCAATTAAGCAATGAGACTAGGCTCATGTATTTTTAGGTAATCATCACAGTCTACAACACTGGCTTCATGGGTTTAAACACAAACCATTTATAATGGAAAACCACCGGAGGACAAAACTTAAGCCAATTGCAAGCTCAATATAAAATAATTATTCACCATTATCATATTTAATGTCAATTTGTGAGATAGTATTGAATCATTGCCTCGTGGAAACAGCTTTGGGTTATAATGTTATAATGATAAATACCACCTACAAAGTTTGTTATTGTGCTGTAAATAATTCAGCATTTATGAAGACCAAATAATTAGATAAGAATTTCCAGAAAGTAACTATGAGCACCTCATCTGCAGTGTGGAATTCCGATAGGCTGATTCTTCTCTCCTCCAACACCAATCGCTCTTTCACCACTAAATCCATTACCTGCAGCATCCAAAAAGAATCTGTTATGTCTCTGAAAAAACAGAAGAATTTGTCTAAATTTTTTTTTTTTAAATGAAGGTTAAGGTTAAAATATCCAGCTTTTACTTATTTCTAATCACCTCTACATACCAAAAACACAATCAAATAAGTTCAACCGGCCAAGAATACTTGGGTAAATCAATTTACAATTGAAACAAGGATGTCAATGCAACTTACAGTAGCTCGAGTGATACCCGGAAGGCAGTAATCAGCATGAGGTGTCAGAACTCTGCCCTTTTTTACTAAAAACTGCAAAAGTGCAAAGAATTAGTATTTATCACTCCACTGGGCTGGGATGCTACCCATATGAAACTGTTATGAGTTATGTCCAACAATTTAGTGATAATTACTTAATCATGGCAGGAGCTAGGTCTATCTGCACTCCCATGATTTTTTTATTTTTTTTTTGATGTTTTCAAGTTTACTGCACAAATAATATCCATAACTCTCCACAACAGCCCGTTTAAAGTAATGAAGAAGGATATATTTGACCAATTTATAAGAGCAAGAATCTTTCTTAATGAGAACCACCTCACTAGTTGTCAATGGTCATTTCATGTGGCTTTTATGAAGAACCTAATGGTTCTTCATGTAAATGTAGCTCTGACATCAGAAACTGTAACAAAGCAAAGGCTTACGATGTTTGTAGCATTTGTTTCCGACACAAAACCATCCTTGTCAAGCATGATTGCGTCATCAGCATTTGCATTATTCCCTTCTATCTGCACCATGCAAGTGAAAACAGTTTCATTTCAATAGGAAACATAACTGTGACAGTTATCTGGTCGACTATCATGGTGTTTTGCAGCCAACTATCATGGTGTTTTGCAGTCCAACTACTATTGTAGTTAGTCCAACATGTAATGTTCATAAAACTAAATATTTGACGTCAAGGGTCGGTTTCAGGAAAAAAATAAACATATGTACTGGTAAGAACATAAATGAGAAAAATTCCTTGACCTGCATGGTAAGTGAGTGTAAAAATGAAACTTTGAAAAAAAAAAGGAACTTGACATGAAAACAAGATATTTGAGCAAACGATCAGAAATTAGGATAATACCTTTGCAAGTATGTTATTGAGCAGGTTGTTGTGGTGAATTTTTGAATCCAAATTCTGGTGAAGAGAAAACCGTCAAAGCAACCTAAAGTAAGATACATAAATAATAAAAAGCCTAGATCACAACACACACCAATGTTGCTATACCCTTATGGATAATGCTTAAGCACATTCATCCCTTTTCTCTTTTCTCACTTCATAAAAGTCTAAAATCAGTGTTTTAGCGATCTCACATCAGTGTCCCTGACAGACTTAAATTTTCAGGTTGATAAGGGAAGTTTACTATATTGTTCAAAATCATTACAACAATGATTTGTAAGATTACTTTGATTAGTATGAACTAAGAGACTATAAAAAATTGCCATTTGAAGCTATTCAGACATGTGAAATTGTCATGTGAAACCACAGAAAAGTCCAAAATCTTACATTTGGTGAATTACGCCGTGTGGTAGCCGTCACCAGAGTTACACCATGTGTATTATCATATACAGGGGGTTTCCATTCTGGAAGCACTGCAATTCATAAAAACATAATGTGGATCAAAAGAAAGCCCGTGATGGAAGTAAATTCTAGAGCAAGCACTATCCGCGACATCAAAAAGAAAGGAAAAATCATCCCAATTGTTTATGAGCCGATGTATTACCATCTACATTCTTAAAGTAGTAACTATGGTACTGGGAAAACATGCATGTGTCAAAACAAGAGCAGTGGCAAAGCAGTCACTCTTAAATAGCTTAAAAGTTTAGGAATTAAGCTTACCAATTAGGGTGCAGCCATAGAGGTTAAATGCTGGGCTCATCCCAGAAGTAACCTGAAAAGAAGACAATATTCTAAAAGAGTGAACAAATTGCAGCACTGACAAAATTTGTTAAAATAGATTGATTTAACTAAAGAGATAGGAAATGCAAATGATTGCAGCATAAACCTTCTTTCCTCTTGTGAGGGATAGTCGAATATGTGAATTATCAAACATTTGATTCCTAATTAATGTTCTGAAAATGGCTTCCTTAACCTGCAATTGAATGCCAAGCATTAGAAAAGTTTAATTGATCAGCCTTTTTGCATACGATCAGGCAGAAGGGAAGAGAATAAGCAACTTCCATTTACTCAAACATCAAAAAACCTTAAACAGCACAGAAATTCAATTCATCTTCACGTCCTTACTTCTTCACGAGTTGGAACATTCTTGAAAGCAAGAGCCTTTGCTGAGTCAAACAACCTAATTGAAAGGGAAACAAAACCCAACTCAGATTTTTATTGATGGAAATGTTCTGTCTGCCATCAGTAAGACAATCACACTTATTAGTGGAATTTCACCAAGAAAATTAGGTCCAGTTCATCAACTACAAGAAATGTTAAGCAGAAGGTAGCCACCTAAGATCAAAGACTGGGGAACAAACCATTGGGTATGTAGATAAAAAAAGCAAAGGGAAAAAAAAATGAAGAAATAAAGATAAAATGAGCTTTGGTTAAAAAAAATATGACTAATCAGTTATCTGTAACAAGTTTAAGAGCTTTTTAGTTATATTCCATTTCAATAACAGTACCTTAAAGCAGATTTCTTAAGTTTCAGTTCACTGTTCATCTGTTAATGCAGTTCAACATTTTGGGTGATATAGAAGCATCCTTAATACAAAATATAGAACAGTCTGATCAGAAATTAAACCTAAATGGTTGAGTAAAAAAGTTTCTCCTGCATAAACATTATGCACACCAAGATCCAAAATTTTAACCACCTGTCTAAATGCTCTTCAAGCTTAAATATCTTCCCTCTGTAAACTCGAAGTCCCTCCCACACCGAATCACCACCTTGGACAACTGAGTCAAACACAGAAACCTGATGCAGGAGACAAGACAAATTCTGAAACTACAACTCATTGAACAATGGATCAAAACTTGTTCTATAATCAAGTACCTTGGCACTTTCACGGGGTAGAATTTCATCACCAACCCATGCAAGCAGCTTCTCATTTGCAGGGACAGGAAGGTCAGGTGGAGGTAAGGGGGTCTTAAAAAGGGTTGATGCCTGTCTCACGTGGCGTCTGAGCCAGTTGTACAAAGGTAGACTTTGCTCCAGCAAGTCATAGTGAGAAAGTGGAAATGGCTGAAAAATTCATGGAACGCACAAAAGGATCGTTTTAAAAGATAAGTTGGAAGAAAATTTCCACATTTACGAGAATTCTAAAAATTATCAACCAATCTGTCAGCCTTTTGGAAATGTTTTGTCTTACTAGTTTCCACCAAAACAAATCAATCAGGCATTCTGAACACCACGTAAGTCTAAAATGATGCAAGACCTATGTGAGATCCAGAACGGATTAATTACATGATTTATGGAATGCAAGCCTTCAGTAAAGAATTTTATTCCTAAGTCCCATTGAAACAGCAGTGGCTGCATGGCATTTGTGTTTGCATTGAAATATAAATTCACAGAGCAAATACCTCAGGATACTTTCTTGTTGATGAGAAACCAGTAGATTTATGCACACTTTTGTACCACCATGGGGCCCACATCCCATCAATTGGCTTCGGACCAGCTTCCCATCTGACAATGAATGAAAACTTGTCAAGACCAAAATCAAAATATAATTTCTATAGAAAAGAATAAATTATCATTCCTACATCTGGTGGATGAAGGGATTTCTATAGAAAAGAATAAATCATCATTCCTACATCTGGTGGATGAAGGGATTCATAAAGTTTAAAAATATCACCAAAAATGCAAATGATAAATAGGAAGTTGTGAACAAGATAAGTAAAAATCTTCGGAAGTGGGAGTAAGAAACTTCACTTGGGATGCTAAGGTCAATCTTTAAATACCATTGATTCCCTAAGTGAGACCACATGAAGCTTTTATCATGAACAGTCAAGAGACAAAAGAAAAAATTAACTTTCCAATGGAAACATTTCTGCAAACCTGAGCATTGAGTCTTGAAAAGGAATACCCAGATCTTCACAAAGACTATGCAAAGTAGCCTGCACATAGACAAGTTGAGTAGATAACATCATGTAATATACAAATAAACAATTACCACAGAGTAAGTGCAAAATGAGGATGTGCAAGAAAGGTTTAAGCATAATTTTTATGCGACTGAAGTTTCCTCAATGATATTACTATGAAAAAAATTCAGAAATTACTGTCAAAAGTCCACAAAAAGTAAAAACCATGGACTCCCTTTATTTCATTTTTGATGCGCATAATATTTCAGAGTAAATCATGCATAGCTAGCAGATTCTCTAACCTCAGGATTTTGTGCAAGGTCTGTTGCATCAATAACAGGTGGGCGCTTTCCCAACTGACAGAGGTCATTGTATATGGAGACCAGCTCTGCCAAACCTAAATCAAGAAAGGATGGAGGTACAACCTTTCCAAAAGATGGCTGATAGCAAACAAAATATAGAAGACTAGTAAACAAACACGTCAGTGAGATTGGGAAAACAAAGCCATAGTACAGAAAAATGGAATGCTTGCAAATGCAAACCATCTTACCAGTATATCAAGGGGATTACGTATCAATATGAAGTGCTTTCCTTTCTTCATTAGATCACTGGGCAAACCAGGTAACCGTTGCTTTGACATATGCTGTAGACATTGATATGAAAACAATTTGATGAAAAATAAACACAAAGTTAAATTAATTAACCCATGATTTAAAGTCGCTTCAGTTGATGACTAAAATAAGCCAAATTTAAGTATCCTTAAAGTAAATGCTATGATTAAAAACTAAAGCAGATGCTAAAACTAACAGTGAGCCTTCCTTTCTGCAGAAAAACCCTATCAGCAACAGGACTAGAGAATCCTTAGCCATTCATTTTAGGAATTAATCAGCTAATTTCTAATGGGTTTCCCTTCGGTCCTTAACAGCATATTATTTTGACTGAAGCAACCTGCATTCTACAATCTAGAACTTTCTGCCCATTGAATCCCAGCCCTCAAAAATACCAACATATAAAGAGTTTACATGCGAACCAACAGCTAACTGGTTGGTAACTGCTGGGCACAGGAACTAAGGCAATTATTTTGTTTTGACAACGGCGGAGAACCCATTTTACTGTATCTAATAGATTAAAATCATGGGAATCATTTGATAGGGATTCTACTCATCATGCATAGCAGAAACATTGTCCTTTTTTATGAATGTGGAAAATGTGATCAAAATAGACTAGTGTTCTAAATAGAAGGCATATGCTCAGTCATTTTATTTAAAAGGAGGGAGAGGCAAGGGGCAGAAACCAAATATATGATTATGAGAACCAAATTCAAGCACAACAACAAAGTTGAAATTCAATACTGATATCCTGGAATCGTGCCTGATTGATGAAAGAGCTTGCAGATTACCTTACAAAACCGGTACTTCTTTTCTCCTGGAGCAAAAATTATCTCTTTCACAACCTTATCTCCATCAGATTCCTATTTTCAGAGTGAAAACCAAAATTTTAATGTTAAGAAAGGAAAAGAATACCAAAAACACAGAAGATTATGCAAATCAAAAGAGAGGAAAAGAAGGTGACCAAATAAGATATCAGATGATAATGCATCAAGTTTTCAATGGGAAAGAAAATGACTACAATCAACAGAAAACATGAAGTCATTTTTCAGGACCTCCAAGGACAGGAACCCACACAACCCCTCCAATGTTGCAAGGCTACCTAGAACCCATACAACCCCTCCAATGTTGCAAGGCTACCTAAAGCACAAAACTTCCTCCTTGACCGTCCACAACTCATTTTTGGGTTTAGATAAAAGGAATTTAACATTGATATGCAATATTTCATTTTATGCAAAAGGGGAAAGAAGTACTACCTAATCCTAAAGAAGAGAGCTAAGGTCAAGTTCTATATCTGCGTATTATCAAGAAAACTTATTCCTACCAACACACTCACGGGAAGGTACTATATAAAGTCTTCTCTACTCAAGTGCTTGCTCTCGACATTGATCCAATTCACTTAATTTTAACCCACAAAAAATACACTGCTTGTAAAATTAAGTGATACCCGAAGAACTACAGGTGCAAAAAATGCAAGTCAAGCAGCATATTTATCAAGATGAAAGGAAGAGAAGAAGAAAACGGATGACAGTACAACATTTAGCATACCATTTTGGACAGAAGCTCCTCTCTGTATGGCCTTTCAACATCAGATACCTTCAGGAAAGTAGGATACAGAGGTTCATCAAGCACTTCCATGTCATCCCTCTAATTACAGCACAATCAAAGCAGACGGTTTTAGTACGTTAGCAATGAAGAACAAATAAAAAGAAATCAATAGCGAAACATGTTTACGAAATCTAGCTAGGCCATGTACTGTCTTAATTCAAAGACACTGTAAATAGGTTTCATAGGCTGGCAGGAAACCATAAATCCTTTCAACTCAACTCCTCCATGTAGCATAAATACAAGCAAACCCAACAAAATGGATCATCTATGTGTTCGCAGAACATAAGCAAAACCCAGAAGTTAAAAGGGTCCACTAACTCACAAATTTGATCTAGTACACACAAAGCACAAAACACCAATTTCACTTATCATCCATTCCATTATTTTCCTTATCCTTTTCAATTTTCTTATCAACCAATCAAGAACTAAAGCAAGATGAACAGAGACAGTAAAAGGAAAGTTAGAAACCTGAGCAAAAGAGTACATGAGACTGGTGCTAAGAGATCTTGGAGCAGACCATGAGTGAATCACCTCTACTTCTCCCTCTCCTTGCTCTTGCCCAACCATGTTTCGAGTGATTCTTGTCAGCTTTCTTGAGTGTGTCTTAATGGGGTTATTGGGGGAGAGTTAGAAAGATATGTTGACATTCATGGTAGGATTACCATATAAGTAGTTGTGCCCAGTTGTCAGAAAAATGACGACGAGGACAGGTACGTGATCTTGTTCGAAGATGATAAGGTACCTGACCTTTTGTTGTTTTTTTTTTTTTCGCTGTCGGATGGATGCTGTCACTGTCTACGACCCTGTCAGCACATTTTTTAAAGGAAAATCACTCGATCACTTTCCTTTGATCCTACTGTATTAATGAGAAATTATTCCTCTCTTTTTCAAAATTCTGATCCAATATGATACCATAATTATTAAACTTATCCTGCCTTGATTTAAGGTGAAAAATAAATTCATTCAGTCATCAAATCTAATTGATTTAATGGATTAATTATCATTTTGTTAATTAAACTCGGTTAACACCGATCAAATCAACTTGACATTATTTTATTAAAAATAGTTGATTTGATTTAACGTGATAACACACAAATCAATTTTATAACTTGTAATTCATACTGTTTTAACTATAAATAATTCTAAAAATAAATAAATAACAGATGGTGATACAACTAGAATCCGATATGAAAAATGTTTAAACATTTTCAACCAAAGATCTTCAAAGTATAATGAAACTTACATCTCTTTTCTACCATTACATTCATTATTATTATACGGCACCAAAGAGCTTTTTGTCGGAAGGGAAATTGTGACCCAGAGGACAAAAATCAAGGGAAATGCAAGCAGCTCAGTTGAGGGTGTTTCATGGAACTTCAGTTTAAGGATAATATTCCAAGTCAACTTATTAAAATAAACTAAATAACAATAAACCAAGTCAACTTATTAAAATAAACTAAATAACAAAAAAATAATAACAATAAACGAAGTCAACTTATTAACTTTGCCCCACCCGTGACCGGATTTCTTGAATATGATGAGGGGGATAGAAACAATATATATAAAGGCAATCCACATCCAGATCCAGTAAAAAATCTTATAATTCTGCAGTAGTGTGACAAGTCACATAAACAATTAATCAGCTGTCAGACTGAACAAGAATCATCATACAATATAGAATCTCATATAGTACAATGCAACTCTCAAAAGATTCAATAGATGAAAGTTCAACTGGTAACATACAACGGAAAAAAACGCTTGAGAGAACACTGTTACTTGCATTTTACAGTAAATAAACGTGAGTTCAACTGGTAACATACAATGGAAAAAAACGCATGAGAGAACACTGTTGGCCAAAGGAACAGAATAGAAGGGAAGAACATATGGTTGTTACTTGCATTTTACAGTAAATAAACGTATACTTGATCGGTTGTATGACTGCATGTATGGAAGCAAATTTAAGGGCACTAGCGCTTCAGTTATGTCTGCGATTACAAGGTTAGCTTCTTCTGCTAGTTTAAGAAAACAATTAAAAGTATCAATATTGCGAATAACCGAGGCAATATAAGCCACGGGACATTTCATCAGTCTGGCAACTGAAGAACCACCAGGAAGTTCCTCGACTTGACAAGGATCAGTTCTGTTGCCATTTTGAATGGTAACACACTGTATATCATGGGCAAAGAGAGATTTCCCTTCAGAAGCGCCGTTGACATCAATGTGTTCGGCATCTTGCAATCGGCCCTCACAACTCTCTTCCCAAGTCTGAGTGTACGCTTTCTTTTGTTTCAAAAGAATGACAAGCACTCGAAGAAGGTGTGGAAGGCAGGATGGATCATAAATAACATCTGCTCCCAAACTGTACGAAAATAAATTAGGAAAACAGCAATGGATTCAGAAAGAAAGGCTACAAATGACAGATAAAAGTATTTTTAACAATAATTATTAGCTAAATTTACTTGTTCAAGTGGTGGAAAGACTTTTGGCGATTAACCACAGACATTGGCAGAAAAGAAAATATATAAATTAGAAGATGAGATAAGTAATTACATGATGTCAGGTAAGTACTCTTCAAGTTCACTTTCTGTGGCGGATTCCCATGGCAGATGAAAGCATTTCACCTTAGATTTATTATACATTTCAGCTTTTACCTGCCAAATAATTAGTTCTTGCCATTAATGCAGGGTATTGAAGTTCTTGAAATTCCCAAACAGTTCAAAAATCATTTAACCAGAGTTTGACAAAAGAATTTTACAAACATGCATGAAATTTAACTTTTTTATGCCAGCAGATTTTCTCCTGCTTAATGGCCATTTGAAGAACATATCTTTGCACAAAGAATGATAATGACAACAATTTACTAATCAACACACCAATTAGATTTTTGTTTTCTGAAATTTCAAATAAAAGAAAAGGGAAGGTTAGGAATATAGAGACGTCATAGAAACGCTTGCTGGTTTCTTAAGCCAAGAAACTATCAACCAAGTAATGAGGGGATCATAGTCTCTGGGATCACTTAACCACTTCATCTTTTTTAAACACTGACACTGAATTTCAGTAGTTGTTCCACTGCCTTTTGATTACTGAATTCAGCATATTTACATTGAAGAGAAAAACTATAAATAAAATAAACATAAAATAGGCACAACTCTTTAAAGAAATTAGCTGTCCAGAAAGAAAGGTGGTAACGAAAATAAAACTTCAACAGCTGGAACTTACTGTATTTGGATCTTCGCCAAATCTTTCTAGCACATCAGTTTCAGCACTCAACTGGTTTAGCTTCAAATTAAGCTTCATGTTAGATAAAGTTGACAGGTCACCATCACTTAATATAACCTGCATCAAATGCACATATTGCAAGGAGTGAATTGTCCAAAACGGACAAGAATCAACAACATCAGACACCTGCCACCATCTATAATTCAGCTACGCATGATTCTTAGGTCTGCTATAATCATTATCAACCAACTCAAGATGACAAGAATCTATCAAGAAGAAACCAGATTTGCTGCGGGTAAAGAATGTTGTTGAGATATGCCTTATTGATTGCATTGTTTTAGGACTAAGAGATGAACATAAAATAACAGTGATATATTCTTTTCACATTTTTAACGATCATTTATGGAAGTGATAAGTAATTATAAACTTCCAAGCATGTTCTTCCAGATTGACATTTGAGGTGGAAACATAGAAGAGAATGTAATTTTTCAATGCAACACAAATAATAGAAGCAACATACCTGAGAAGCTTTTACATGAGAAAGACAAATTCCAACCAAACCAACACCAGAACCAACCTGCACTCAGTTTGGGCAAAGCAAATATTCAATAACAGAAAAAAAGTACTGTTGCGACCCATAAGAAAGTGGAAAACAAAAATTTCTGAGACCAAAATGCTGCACTTTAAGATACATCTAGTCATGGTATTAGATGGAAAAGTTGGCCAGTCAAAGAAAAAAACCCTAAAAATGTAATCTTTGTGCCAAAACATAAATCAGACTGTCAGCTCAGATGGAAATGGGTTGCAACAACAAGAAGCAGATCAAGATATTAATGAATAAGCTAATGTTGACAACATCTCGTACCTAAAATATGACAAACTTATAATTGAACAAGTTACCTCAAAGCATGATTTGTTGGAGAATATGTCTGGAAAAGAGAGTACAAATTCCGACAAATATAGGCTTGAGGGCCAAACAGAACACCTGTGTAAATGATGCCAGTAAGAACTTATCTGCACCTTTTTACGTGTTACAGGGGGTGGGGGGGGGTTGTTGTGGGGACAAACTTAATATATACAATTAATAGAGTTTCTCCAGAAAAATGGAAACATATGTATGCATACACACTGACACACACATAACACTCAAATGCAAAGTGAATCAGATACTGCTCCTATGGGATCACACGCCAAGATATACTCTACAAGGACTTAATACTCTCCATAAACATTGGAAGTTAAAAGGTTCCAATTATATTTAAATAATCAATATATTCCATGGAGATAACATTCAAGAAAGGCATAAGATGCGAGGTATACCCAGTGTCTCCTTCAAGCATGTTGAGTGAACAATGCAGCGGAACCACCAGATTGCTTGACTTGGGACAACTTGGAGGTTCACAACCTAAAAACACTAAATCATCTGTTCAGTATCATTTAAACAAGAGCTTGTGCAAATGACCTTAAAGTTCAAAGGTACCAGTATCAGAAAACTAATAGTTATTACCATCAGGAAAAAGAAAAGAAATGCATTTGTGGACCCTGGCGCTTCCTTTTACCAGACCATCATCCTAACAGAAAACAAAAGGCATACCAATCATAATTTAAGTAAGCAATCGCTGATTTGCTCATACCACAACCCGCTCTTAAAGCAAAATACTTTACTACCTTTAATGAACTCATGTAATAACCACATTGTTCATATAATTCATCCAAAACTGTCCCATTTCTCGATTCTACTTCAGAGATAAGCCTCTTCACAAAATTCCTCAAGTAAGGCCCATACCCTTTTTCACCCTGGCATTAATGACAAGGCTAAAACACTCTTCATCACAAAGAAACAAACTATCAAATCACCAGTAAGAAAAAGCAGTTGATTTGATCAAAAGTTCAAGACTTTACTAAATAAAGGGCACCTAATTAGTACTCACAGCTTCGTTGCTTATACAGTGATCCCAAATAAACCTCTGCACTCCCTCTGTAACCAATCCTCCACCACATTCTCTAACATTTCAAGAAAAATAAAGCTAGCTCATTAGTTCCAATCTCCAAAACACGCAAAAAGAGTAAATAAATGAAGACAATTTGTGGAAATGCTAAAGTGCCCATTACCTTGACAGGGAGAGTAAGGTATTAGCGGGCTCCATGGAGAGGAAGGCGGAGACTAGGAGGAGGCCTGGAGGGATGGTGGGGTCTACCTTCGGTTCTGCCATGACTGGGGCTGGGGTTTATTGGGTTTGGGGTTTTGGGGTTTTGGGGTTTTTAAGGGTTGAAGGATATGATTGGGTGAGGAACGACGTCGTTTACTCGAGTATGAAAGCATACAAAGGCGTTGCGGTGGTTCTTGTTGTAATTAATTGAAATAAGAGGGCATAAATTACTGTATTCGCCTGCTTGAAGTACGAGGCAATTGGGCAAGATTGCTTGAATTATGTGCTTAATTTGAGGTCGTTTGGTTTATGATTGTAGTCCCCATTTTTACGAGTGTAGAAAAATGGCACCAAATTTTTTATTCTTGAAATCTTGTCATGAAATACAACATAATTATAATTTTCAAAACCAATTCAGAGTGCGTTCGATTAACAACATTTTAATTAAATCAAATTAAAAAATTAAAAATTGATAAAGACTTTAATATTATTATTTTTAAAATTCAATAATAGATGTCAAACTAATAACGGGTTATAAAATTTTTTTTTTATTAAAATACTGTTATTTTATTCTTTTTAAAAAAATTATTGATATTAATTTTATCAAGTAAAAAAAAATTAATCAACTTACTAAAAACTCATTCAAATTAACCTAAATTTTATAGAATTAATACTTTATTTAATTCAATAATAAAATTTTTGACACAAATTACGTTCTAGATCCCGAATTCGCCCGTTTAAAGCTTATTGAGCTTCCCCTTGCTCTGCTTAGAGCCACTTTTTACTCGGGCCACCACCATGGGCTGGACTTGTTAAGCCCATCATTCCATTTTGGCCCATCTTCATAAATTGAAATCCAATATCTCTCTCTAAGAGTAACGGATTAGCTGTGATAGTGTGATTAAACTCGTTTTGATGCTAATCACGCAAGCCACGTTGGCTACTTCCCACTTCAGTTACTGTATAAAAACCTTCCCGCCAATTCAAAAACCTCAAAATCTGTGACTCTCGTTTCCTCTCTTCCCCTCTCTGTTTGGTTCCCTAGAAACCGCAGGAAAATTTTCTTATTCAATTTCTTCTTTTGAATCTTAATAGCTAAATCCAGATTTCAGGTACAGATGCGAACGAGAATCGAATGGTTTCAGAATTTGAATTTTCTTTCTATTTTCCTTTGCTTTCTCAACCAAACAGAATCCGCCAGAAGCTGAAACTTTGAGAATCAAATGCAGCTCTCTGAGAGATAGAGCTGCATTTGACACATACACACTTCTTTTGTTGAATCAATTTCTCTGATTTCTCTGGAAACAAACAGGCTGATTTATTTATTTATTTTATTTTGAAGTTCAAATTATTTGACAACTTATGTAACGGAATTTTACAGGAGATAAAATGATGTCGAATATAACAGTATGCGCTCGCTTCAGGCCGTTGAGCGCCAATGAGAGAAAAGACAGCTGCGACAGCATCTGCATTAGCACCATAGACAGTGAATCTTTCATTTTCAAGGTAAAAAATCAGCTATTTTTATCCAAGTTTCTCAATACACACGCAAGCAAGCAAGCGCTTGTATGCGGAATTGATTGTTGTGTTTTTGATAGGATGAGAAAGATGAGTGTACATATAGCTTTGATAAGGTGTAAAAATCCGCTATTTTTATCCAAGTTTCTCAATACACACGCAAGCAAGCAAGCGCTTGTATGCGGAATTGATTGTTGTGTTTTTGATAGGATGAGAAAGGTGAGTGTACATACAGCTTTGATAAGGTGTTTTATGAGGAATCTATGCAAGCTGATGTGTATGAATTTTTAGCTCTGCCTATTGTTAAAGGTGAAGATCTAATCCTGTCCGTTTGTTGAGAAGCAAAAAATAAAGGTAGAAAGTTGCTCTGCCTAGTGTTGTCATGAAATGATTTTGTGTTTCTATGAAGCAGATGCTGTTAAAGGAGTAAATGGGACAATCATTACTTATGGACAGGTATGTAAGATTTGGTTGATGATTTCATCTATGTATTTGCTAATTTGAGTTTCTTTTTGTTTATTTTCCTCCATGTGTTATTAAGTATTGATATTTATTAGATTAGAATCTGAGGTGATTGGTAAAAGCTGTGAGAGGAGATAATGTCTTTTTCTGTATGAAGTTATTTCTACAGATCTTATTTTGTGTAGACAATGAAGTTGAGTTAAGCATTGTAAAGTTTAATTATGCTGATAATCTTCAAGTTGGCGTTAAATGGTTTATGTAGTTAGATTTTGGAAGTTTGTTGCACTTTACTGAAAACATGGTTTAAGATCCTCGGAATCGTCATACCAGAAATTCGTGCGAGCAATTCGGGTCGCCGATTGAGTACTAATTTCCGTTCAAGTTTACTTCAAGCATAGACTAGTTATGCATTAGATGAAATTGATCGGATATGACTCAACTGATTTCATCTTTCAGAGGCAAGGGCTTCCAGATAGATTGATGAGTTGTTTGTCGTAATTTCTGTGCTATATTTAGATGTATTTTTTATGCTGTCTTAAACTGACAAATTTATTGTGTTTGTTAATAGACTGGAGCTGGGAAGACATATAGCGTGGAGGTAAAGTGAGACTCTGGTAAATGTATTATGGAAGGCACTCCTATGTAGATCTAAGATCTCACATTGAGAATATTTAACATGTTATGTTAGGGGCCCAGCATCTTAGAATGTGATGTGCAAAAGAAAGGATTGCTTCCAAGAGTAGTGGATGGACTATTCGAGTGTATTAAATCTGCTGATGAGTCAACGAAGTACACAATCAAATTATCAATGGTATTGGTGCCCAATACACTGTTACATTGAGACGATTGTTTGCTTTGATATAGATAAGCACTCACGCTAAATAGATTCTTCCTTTTTCTATGATTTATCTAGGTAGAGATCTACATGGAGAAAGTCAGGTATGCATCCCTTGCTCGAACTTGTGGTTCGCTTCTCATATCTTTGGTTGCTCATTCCCTATCCCACAATAGAAGATTTAAATTCTGCATAACTTTCTGAGATTTCTAAAACATGCAACCTGACTACTGAATGTTACTCATCTTGTTCTTCTCAGGGACCTCCTTGATTTAACAAAGGACAACATACAGATTAAAGAGAACAAAGTTCAAGAAATATTGCTATCAGGAGTTACAGAGGTGAGATTTTTTTTTTTCAGTCCTTGCTTCTTCTTTTTTTTTAAAAAAAAAAAGTAAATTCACTTTTGCTTTATCTTTTCTTGCATATCCTTAATGGAAAAGTAGCATGGCTGCTTTTGTATAGATCTGAGCATTAAGTCTAGACAACCGAAAGAATGTCTTGCCAATGGAATTGATAACAGTGATTTGATCTGGAACCTCATTGCTCTTTTCTAAACTTTATATGAAGTCATCGCAACTTATGCCAAACCTTGTATGGAACATTTAGCATTTTCTCATGACAGTTCAAACCAAGTGATTTATGAAATTGGAACTTAAGTATTCATGACTTGGTGTCAATGCTTCTCTTCTGAATGTATTTTATGTGCTTACTTGCAACTTCATTTAATTTTCCTTTCTTAGATCACCATATCAGACCCAGAAGGAGCTTTGCAAAGTCTATCTGTAAGACACAAAGTTCTTTGATTACTATTTCTTACTCCAGTACATAGTCCAGCTTCTGATCTACAGCTTGACATTGTAGGATGGGATAGTTAACAGAGCAGTTGGAGAGACTCGTATCCTTTCCTTGTTCTTTACCCTTTATTTGAGTTTATGGATTTCTTAGTTATGCTTTACTTAGAAAAGAACTCGATCACTGCACTCCATTTGCCTCCCTTTTCTTGGTGAATATAGTGGTCACAATTTTTCTGATTCTTTTGAGACACTTAACGTAGACAGAAATGAACGTTGGCAGCAGTAGAAGTCATTGTATTTACATTTTGACTGTTCAGCTAGAGTCGACTACAGATAAGAGGTATTGCATTTCTTTGTATCTTTGATCAATGTTTAGAGTGATTTAGTCTTTGAAGATTTCAATATTGTTGACAGGGTGAAAACTGGAAAAGTAATTCTTGTGGACTTGGCGGGGTCTGAAAAGGTAGAGAAAACTGGAGCTGAAGGAAAAGTTCTTGAAGAATCTAAGACAATCAACAAATCCCTATCAGCTCTAGGAAATGTAATAAATGCCCTGACATGTGGTCCATCGACCAGATCAAGCCATATTCCTTTTCGTGATTCAAAACTTACACGGATTCTACAAGATGCTCTTGTTAGTTACTCGGCACTGAATCTATCTGACAATAGAGTATCTCAGATTTTTATTGACTGCCTTCTGACTCTCATCATATAGGGAGGGAACTCCAGGACTGCTTTGCTGTGCTGTTGCTCACCGAGCGCTTCAAATGCATCGGAAACTCTGTCTACCATTCGGTTTGGTATGAGGTATGGCAGTCCAAAATCTATATGTTTCAACATATGGAAATTGATGAAATCAGAAGAGTGAATAGAAGAAAAACAAGTTTCTGAGCGCTTAGATAAGAAAATCTTTGCTGTCTGAGAGTACAAAGACGCCATTTATTAGTTTAAATGATAACCACATTTGGAAACTATTTATGTAACAATCACTGTATAATCTGTTAATGGCATTACTGATTTACTGCATCCTTTTGAGGCCCTTAACTTTATTTATTTTTTTGCAGGGCAAAGCATATAAAAGCATCACCTTTAGTCAGCCGCAGAGAAGATAAACATGCCAAAAAACATGGAGATATCACCCCAACTAAAGATGAGTCATGTGACCGAATTCTAAATAAGGTGAGAATTAAAAGTGACGTGATATAATTCTGAATAATATGAGAATTAAGCAGTGACATTTCATATGAACCATTTAAAATTTAGATTCTAAGATAGTTTCCATTTGTAGTTGAGGGAGAGACTGGACGAGGAAGATGTGAAGTTACTGGAGGAGTTATTCATGCTGGAAGGATTATTCTTTGACGTTACGTCAGTAGAAGATCTGGAATCAGCCTATCAAGATGTTACTTCATGGACAATTTCCTCATTACAACAGGCAGTAGAAGAGCTCATATACACTGTCGAGGAGGTAAGTAAAAATAGTTGAGAATTACGTTGGGGC